TTTGTATGTAAATTAGGTCTGTGAATTACTGCTGTGCTATAGTAAATTCTATATGAATCTTTTGTTAAATTGTTTAACTTAAGCTGTCAATTAAGTGGTTTTAAGTTTAAGTGCTGTTAAAACTTTAGGCCTAAACTGTTTGTCAAGTCCAGGCTCAGTATAGCAAGGAACTTGTGATTCACCAGGAGGGTCTTCCTTATTCCTTTTTATCCTTATCCTTTCCTACCTTTGCCCTTCACTCCCTCCCCCTGCTCCAGCCTCCACATAGATAATTTTTGAGTTGATGATGGTTTTAGACTGATTGATTTTAGATTTTAGTTTGCTTTTTCTCTGTGTGCTTTAATAAAGTAGTAGAGTTAACCTTGCCAAACTTTGTCGTGCTTTCACTTTTATATTAAACATGCTTTTGCCAATACCTTTGCCAGTGATTCAAGTGACCTCAAAACACTCATTCATGAGAGTTGTAAAGATTTTGTGTTTCCTTTAATGTCGAAGGAGCTGTCTGAACGATTGCAAATATAAAGGAAATCTGCAAATCTGAAGGAGATTCAAGTTGATAAAAGAAAAGAAAAAGGAAAAAACTATTTTTAAAATAGTCTTACACAATTTCCATCCCACAAAGGTAACTAAGGCTACATGTGTAAGCAATACTGACTGTCTCAGTTGCACCTCAGCACTGACACATATGTCACAGATGGATGTTACATAATGTGTTTGTAAAATAGGCATTTTCCAGTGATTTCTGAAAGTAGAACTGGATGTGCTGATGTAGCTTGCTCCAGAAAGAACACTGTGTGTCCTATACCCACTGCAATGAGAATTCCAAAGTGCCATGCAAAATGTCACCTTATCTCACTTAAAGTTATTTCATCTAGTAATATCAGAGAAATTACAACAATATGTTGTTCTACATTAAAGTACATGACAGCGTTATCTGTGAGACCTGGCAGCTGCCACTTTTGGCCGAGCAGATGGCAGTGATAGAAACACAATGCAGGGAACAGGTTGTTAAAGACAGATCCGTCATTACACTGTCACTGCACAATTACACTCAGCTCCAAGATACCATCAAAATGCATGGCTGTGTCACTCTCAAGCAGGAAGATCTTGCTTATGTGAGGAAAATTATGTATAACAATTAATTCTGTACATATTATTAATCAGATTCATTCATCTCCTGTTCAGAGGAGCAGAAAAAGCATCCAGGAAAGACATCCAAAGTCTTTAAAGTCTTATGTGTTTGCACTTCTGTTCTTGCAGAAGGGAGACAACCATTCATCTCCTGTAAAGGAAAATCAGAGCCAGCCATCGCTTTCATAGCAGTAGTCAATTTATATTCCCATTTAAGGGCCAGAGGGCATGTTAGCTCCCATTTTCACTTTTTTAGCTTTTTTTTGCAGGGTGGGGTGGTGGGGCATAGGGGAGATATTAAATGAGTATATTGCTCATGGAACGTACCAGCCAACCAGTCCTGGAAGCAGAAACAGGCTAAGGCACAGGTGGCAGGGCAGCAGCAGCACCAGCCTGTTCCCTCTCCATCCCTGCCCGTGGCCACTGCCAACACTGACAGGCACTTCTCTGCTGCTGCGATGACCAGTGAAGGCATACACCCAGGCATTCAGAAAGCCCAGGAAACAAGGAAACAGACCACCTCCCCTGTTCCAGAATCACAGAATGGTTCAGGTTGGAAGGGACCACAAGTGGATCCTCTGGTCCAACCTCCCTGCTCAAGCAAGGTCATCCTAGAGCACGTGGCACGGGATTGTGTCCCAGCAGTTCTGGAATATCTCTAGTGAGGGACACTCCACACCCTCTCTGTGCAGCCTGTTCAGTGCATGGTCACTGCGCAGGAAAGAAGTTCTTCCTAATGCTCAGGTGGGACTTCCTGTGCATCAGTTTGTGCCCACTGTCTCTCATCCTATTGTTGGGCACCACTGAGAAGAGCCTGACTCCATCTTCTTGGCATCCTCCCTTTAGGGAGCGTGTTAATTCCAAAGTGCCAGGTTGCCAAAAGGGACATGGCATTCCTGAAGAGCTGAGCAGCATCCTGAAGCCCTGAGGAGAAAGAATACCTTCGGTGTTACTGCTTGCTCCTGCAGTGAGTGTCCAAGAAATGACTCAGTGTAAGTACAGACCTTATAAGGGTAGCGGGGAGGACCTGGTCACAGCACACCTGGGACGTGAGACAATCTATCAGAGAGGCCACTGAAGAAGCCCCCAGAGAGCTGCTGTGCCTGTGCACTGCTGACACTCAACGAGCAAGCAGAGACGCTGGAACCAGACCCAGGGTGCTCGGGATTGCTGGACGTGATGTGGCACTGGAGACAGTTTCATCTTCAATAAAAACTCCAGACAAGGCAACCCATCTGACACACTTTTGCCCATAAGCAGCGCAAGCAATTTACACATCCTGACTTGGGTTTATATATTTGGGGCATCTGCTTAGTTTTTATTACTTCTGGCCTCAGCTCTCACATTCCTTCACAGATCAAATAACTGCTTTCCCTATTTGCTAATTCCAGCAGCTGGTTATTACTCACCAGACTCCTGCTATACTCGCCTGGGGAAGAATCATAAATAAATGTGTAAGAGCAAGCAGATGCTGTCATTTTAAAAACCGATCCACCTAGTAAAAACGTTCTTCTTTGGACTCAAGTGGTGAATCACTGAGCATGCGTCTTGATGTCATTTTAATAAAATCCAAAACCAATCAAAGGACTTTGTTCATTCATTCCAATTAGTAAATGAGGAAAGAGTGCTATAAAGGAGAATATTGCTACAAATAAGAAATTACATTCTGAACAGGCCAAACACCTATTCTTTCCAATGAAGACAAAGGTAAGATAAGACACAGAGCATTTTTTTTAAAATATCTGGTAAAACTAATCACTTTTCCACCACTGGCAGACAAGGTAACATCAACAAGGTAACATCAGCTGTGGGTCCTGGAATCTATGACTGTAAACAGAAGAGAGAAATACAGATGGTTTATCAGACTTTATTATCTCCCTTAATTGTGTGCCTGTTTGTTTGGGGTTTTTTTAATAGGTAATTTCTTTCTGCATGTCAGTGCTAGGAGGAAGTGAGCTGCCTGGAGCATATTTTAAAAAAACCCAGAATATAAGAGAGAAGGAAAAGTGCTCTGCTGACTAAAACCCAGGAAGCAGCAGAGAAAACCTTGGCACCAACTTTTCTTCTGTGTTTTAAAAGGGACATCTTTCTGCAAGGTAAGGCAATTTGGCTTCCACAATCTTAAAAAAAATTACTTTTGATGAAAATAGCACAAGCTTCAGTGATGGTGGCATAATCCACAGAACTCTTTTATGTCAATTCCTGCAGGTTAGTGAGATGACAATAATCTTTGTTCCTTGGCAGCAGGAATTAAATTCTCTCTTGTTGACTTAAAATGGAAATGTCTAGCACTGAAATCATCCACTTCGTTGGTCAGACAGCTGACACAAAATCTCTGCAGTAGTTTACAGGTATTTCAAAACTAGCACCTATTACTGTGAGGTTAACTGCTCTGAGAGTAAAACTTCCCAATTCAGCATTTGCAAATCTGTTGGGTTTTTTCCCAATAATTTCAACCAAGTTGCTACAATGCAACTTTATGAGCTTTTAGAGGATTTTCCTCCTGAAGGCCAAACGCAATACAAGACTCAATATACACCTTAAGACCAGTCTTCATTAGCTCAGTAGATATACAGCCCTTTCAAGACTATTGATGCTGTGTCAACATTCAAACCATTGTACCAAAATCTGACTGACTAGAAATAATTGTCTTCCAGTGTATGCTCAAAGAGAAACACTAAGCCTCCCTGAATACCCAAAACCTAAAATCTACTCCCATTTGGTTCTTCACCTACAGTAAAACTGATAAAGCTCATCGTGGCCTCAATGCCTCACCACTGTACTGGAGATTACATGTTCAGAACTTGGTGTTATTTTAAATACCAGAAAGAAAATCCTAATCTTCAAAGCACAAGTTGTGAAAATATAACTAACATTTAAACTACTAGGAAAATTATTATTTGATGAGAATTGTATCAACCAACTTAAATACAAATAAAAGTTAATATAAATTGCAATAAAAACTGGACAGTCCATAAGCACAAGAATAGAACACTTGCTACCATCATAAGTTACAAATACTGAACACAGGGTCTAACAAATTCTCCTTGCCAGTTACATACTTTCTCCTGCAGTAGCATATATTAACATTTAGTAGTCAAGGAAGAGAAAATTCTGAATGAAGGTGCTAAAATCACACTGTCACAGGAGGAACTTATGGTGCCAAGAGAAAGGCAGTCAGAAGACAGGGAATAGATGGACCAGCATGATAAGCAATGCACAAGTCTGAAGTGTGAGAGCAGAAGTGATCCTTCTGAGGGAACAGCTGGGGAGAGCTGCTAGCAGCAGCAGCAGGAGGACTCACTCCATTTTTAATTTTTTTTTTTTTTTTTGAAAGCACTAGTGACTAAGCATGGACAAAGAAGAGTGAGAGTCTCAGTAAAAAAAGTGATGATTTTAACTTTCTCTGTAAATGTACGATTTTGCATCAGGTCTGAAGATTTCAAGCCTGGCCAAGTAACACTTTTTCATGAGCTACAAATTCCTCATTTGTTGTTATGATGATTTAGACTTTGGTTCACCATGTTAAGACATTCCTCAGTTGCTGAATTTTAAGGAAAATACTTTTTGGTTTTGCAGTCAAGTTTTAAGTCCTGAGAACATGTCAGGGCACATTACCAAAGCAAGCTGTGGCTGAATGATGCCGTGCCCAGTGCGTTAGAAGACTGAGGTGCATACTCCATGCAGAAAGCACGTCTTAAGAGCACATTAACACCGAGCAGCTGAGCCAGCGAGAGGACACGGGCTCGGGGCCGCGCTGGGCTCCGCTCGGGCCCCCCGAGCACACGCGGGGTCCCGAGCGGGGACGTTTCTTTCCAGCACAAAAGGCCAGCAGGGAACAGCGCATCTCCCCGTCCTCCAGCACTCACCCCCTGCTTCCAGAGCGCGGGCGGCCACCTCCTCACCAGAGAACGGGACCTTCCCCGAGTCTGTGCGCTCCCCTTTACTGCGAACGGCGACGTCGATCCCAGTCACTAAATTCCAGCGGGCTCGCTGGTCAAAGGGCGCGCAGTGACACTGCCGAGACTGAGTTCGGCAGGTACGAGACGAGAAGCGACGGCCGCCCAGCGGGCGGGAGCTCGGACCGCCGCGCCACCCAGGCCCGCCCAGCCCGGCCCCGCCGCCCCGTGAGCGGCAGCGCTTTTCCCGCGCCCGGCCCAGGCAGCGCCCCCTCGCGGGCTGTCAAGCGCAAGGCGGCCATGGCGGCGGCCGAGCGGCGCGGAGGGCGCGGATGGAGCGGCATGGAGCGGATGGAGGCCTCCGCGCATTGTGGGACGAGTGCTGGGCGCTGCTTTCGCCCCGCCGCCGAGGGAGGGGCTGACCTTGGCGCTGAGCGGGGAGGTGGAAGGCCTGCGTCCCCCATGCCGCTGCTGCGGCGCGCCCGCGCCCTGCTCTACAGCCCGCCGGGCCGCACCGGGGCGGCGGCAGCGGCGCGCTGGCGCGCCTTCAGCCGACGTCCTGCGCGACATTCCTGGGAGAAGCCTGACGCGGTTGCGTGGAGGGAGGTCGGCAAGGGCTGGCGGCAGGTCTACGCCTACGGCTGCCTCTTTCGGGGCGCTGGCCGAGGTGGCCGCGGGCCCGGCCCGCGGCCGCCGTGCGCCTCTGCGACCTGGGGCTGCCTGCTCGCGCCGGCCGTCCTGGACAACGTCCTGGGCGCGCCTTGTGCGGGACGCTGCAGCCGCGCTGCCCCGCGGGACCGCGCCGCGCGGACCGGCCCCGCGCAGACGGTACGCCGCGAACCCCCTCTCCTTCCCGGCCTCCAACCTCCCCGGGGGTCTCTGCCGGGTGTTGAGGGGGAACGTCCATTCCAGAGAGTCCGGCCGGAGCGGCCCCCGCCGCCCCCCGCGGTGCAGCCGGAGGAGGCGATTCCTCACCTGCACTGCCCTTCGCTGGAGCACTTCAGAGACAACTACCTCATTCCCGAGCGGCCCGTGGTCCTAGAGGGCGTCATGAACCACTGGCCGTGTATGAAGAAGTGGAGGTGAGAAAGAAGTTTCTTCCCTGTTCAAGTAAAGGCACGATCGTTCCCTGTGTTGGGTATCTTGGTGGTCGGTAGAGCAGCAGAGACCTTTGCAGAGGAGGGACACTGTGGGCAGTGAGTTTTGCTGGCAGCGCCTTTCTTCTTCTCTGGAAGTTGCTTCACAGATAAGGGAAGCGCTTTTGGAGCGTTCAGAGCATCACACAGCAAGTGCCAGACTGAGCCGGGGCGAAGGTGCCCCTCCACCCAGCCTGGGGCTGTCCCGGGAGCCCGGTGGTGAATTGGTGGTGCAGTGTGTTGCTCAGGTGGGAACTCACAAGGAGTGCACATTGCAAAGTGCCAGTGAGCTGCTCACGGCTCAGTGGGTCTGTGATTTTTACCCCTTGGAATGTGCCGATAATTAGTGCAATGGAAAGTGAATTTCAGAGCCATGTGTCAGCATGATTGACTTTTTCATTGACAAAGGCAAGCACTGATGTTTGTTCAGTGTCATGTTTGCATGTTGAGTTTCAGCCATCACCATGCAGAAGTAATAGCATTGTGCTGCCTGCCTAATGCAAGCAGTGGTGCCTTGAGTATTTGTGAGGCGAAGCTCATGATTCCTTACAAAAGGGGAAAAAGCACTCATGCTTAGTTTGAGCAATTGCTTTTGTTCAACAGCCAAGGGTACAATTGACATTAAGTGAACACACTTGTTATTTTTAGGGGGTTTATTCATTTCTGAGGGAAGGTTAACTTCCCTGGTTAACTTTAGACACTTAAAAAGATGAACTTCTCCATTTAGTTAATACCATTGTCCATGAAGAGATGTATTCCACCCATCAGAGTAATCCCTCTGGCTGTAACCAGGATGGATATTATTGGCGCCTGTATACGGAATTTGACACTGGCAGAGTGTTGATCTAGTATTAATGATAAAAAGATACAACATTTTATTTAGCAAACATGGCAGCAGGCAGCAAGAAGATTGGCCATCCCTCACCAAGAGAGACTTAATAGCTTAAATCTCCTCAGCTCCTAAGGAAACCACAGTTAACTGAGGTGAACAAGATTTTAAACCAAAATAAAATAGAGAGTTGTGGGATAATGTACACACAAACCTGCCTGCTGATTTCCTTCCCGCTTTCATCGTTTTCTGCTGCCTTTTGTATCTGGTTGGTTAGGTTTAGAGAGAAGAAACTTGTGGTAGTAGAATTTTATTACCCTATAAGACTAATTTGGATTGATTGCCTTACATTCAAAATTAGTAAGAAAAGTAGTATAAAAGGTAATTGAACTTTCTTTATTTCAGCGTGGACTATTTTCGTCAAGTCGCAGGGTGCCGCACAGTCCCCGTGGAGTTGGGTGCCCGGTACACAGATGAGGAATGGTCTCAGCAGCTCATGACTGTCAATGACTTCATCAGCCAGTATATCATGGATGAGGTGCGTTACACTCATTTTATTTCATCTCCAAACACAGCAGCATGGTACTGGTACAGACAACAGTTCTGCTTCCAAAAAACATACTCAGAGGTGATGGTCAAGGGAGAGGGTGTGCTGTAAGCACAGCTCTGAATTAAAAGGCTTGACCTATTTTCAAGATCTGGAGCTAGAAATAATTATTGAAGCAATACCTAGGATTGATTTTTACATATCATCACATGTACAGCAGCTGAAATTTGACAAATAAATACATACATTCTACAGCAAAAGCCTGACTGGTGGAGTCTAAGGGATCCTCAGCCAGCAGGATCAAGATCCAAATTCACATGCCACAAGGCAGAAAAATAAAAAGTCAATTAGCAATTGAAATGTCCTTTTGCTTTCACAGCTGAGAATCCAAAACTCCTGTTTCTGTTTCCTGACCTTCTGGCAGGTAGTACTGTGTGCCCTAGCAAACTGGTCTGTGGTGCAGCCCAGAACAGAGTACAGAGGTAGTTCCAAAGAGTGAAGGAGAACTGCTCTGTGTGCCCGTAGCGTTTGGCTATAAAGATGCAGCACATTGTCACGGGACTGACAGGAGTGTTGAGACTCCATGGGGTTATAGCTCAGCTTCCTCCAGTAACTCGAGCTAGATGATTTATTGATTAGGGAGACACATCTACACTCTCACAATTTCAGTGGAGCTGTAAGTTGCTATTTCAGAAGACCCCTTATACTGTTGAAACAGTTCTGGTACTCTGAATAGGATATTGGAAGTGAATGTTACCTATGAGTAAATTCTATTCACCTGTAAGTAAATTAACTGACTGAGAAGTCGTACACTATATGTCACTATGTGTTTTTTATTTCTCTGCTGTCATTTCAGAACAGTGTAGGATACCTTGCCCAGCACCAGCTTTTTGATCAGGTAAAACTGAGTGAATGTTTTTATCTTCCAACGGTCAAGTGTTCCCTTTGTAGCAGAAGTTGTCTCTGAGGATGTCAACTGTACTAGATCAAAGGGTATATGAAGAACTCACAGTAATTATTAAGTTTCTATTCCCATGATTTGAAAGAACAGAGGGAGAGGTTTGTTCCATTTGGCTGAAAAATATGGAAATAAAACTCTCTAGGGATGAAGATATGCAGTCCTGGAGCTGTTTTGGTACACTGTAGCATATACTTACAGGGATATTCACCCAGAAAGCAGCAGTTCCTCAAAGACTATAATAAAGTCAGGGAAGAGATTTGGACAGAAAACAGTGTTCAGTGTTGATCACCATAATCTGAAATGTCATTCCAGTTTACCAGAATTTAGGTCGGTGGGAGACATAAATAGGAATCTCATGGAGAAACAAGCATAGTGTATAAGAGATCAGCTGCTTCTTTTCCATGAACCACAAACCTGCCTACTCTTGTGGGTGTCTCTGGTTTCTGCTAAAGCAAAGAGTCTCCGAAGAATGAGAAACCCCTTTCTTTCTCCCACCTCTCCTGCCAACAGAATCTGCTCACTAGAACAGAAAGTATGAGGACATTTCCTGCAGATTCCTAGCAGGTCAGCTACTTCTCTCCTGCCCTTGCTGGACAAGCAGGTCATTTTTTTTATTTGTGTCAAGCCTTGTCTATCTGTTCTATGAATTATGTATATTTGGCAAGTCAGCAGGTATCCTTTTTAATGTTTATTTCTTTATGGAAATAGATCCCAGAACTGAAAGAAGATATCAGTATCCCTGACTACTGCTGCCTGGGGGAAGGGGAAGAAGATGACATCACCATTAATGCTTGGTTTGGTCCAGGAGGCACAATCTCTCCTCTTCATCAGGATCCCCAGCAAAATTTTTTAGCCCAGGTATGTACTCTAGTTACTCTACACATGCCATTAATGCAACACTTAGAAAAAATGCTTATGGTATGTAAGTGTTAGAGACAAGGGGAGCAGACAACTTGCGGAATAATTGAAGGACAGAGAACATGCAGATACTGTTTTGCTATTACATTGCATTTGTCATTACTGCAACTTAATATTCAGTGTAATCTTGTAGGCCACAAGTGTTCCTCACTGAGACAGACCATTACTGACCCTTGTTTTATAGATGATAAATATAAATCACAAGAAGCAGCTTTTCCAAAGTCAAACACTGGTATCACTGCAGGAGTCAGCTTTGACTCATTCATGCTGCCATGTCTGGGCACTTGCAGTTCACGTGGTGTTCAGGGCAGCCAAGCCAGTCAGCTTAAAAATTCTCATTTCAGCACTCTAGTGAAAGAACTGGTTTAATGATGACACAGGAATAAGAGTTTTAGGAGCATATGGAAGCTTGGCAGTCACTGTGCAGGTACCACTGCCTGATGGTATGAACTGCAATGAAGATTCAACCTCTTTATTCCCAGTTCTACTTATTTCTAGCTACATAGAACCCAAATAACAATGTATAAATGGGGTGCCTTAAGCTTTGAATTGAAAGTAATTTGGTTAAAGGCATTTCCTTCCTAAAGGTATTCAAATTCTTATCTGTTCCAAGGAACAGGTACTTATATTTCAATAGCTTGATTTTACTTTTTATTATAGCAGTGTCTATTACGAACAAAGATGATGTTCCTTGTAATTAGGTATATTTACTGTTAAATTCCAGGTGTGGCCCACAGCTTCCAGTAATGTGCTACTTAATGACAAATGGAAAACATTTATTTTCTATATACAGGTATTAGGAAGAAAGTATATCCGTCTGTATTCACCACAAGATTCAGAAAACCTGTACCCACATGAAAGCCAAATTCTTCACAACACTAGTCAGGTAAATAGTTGCCTGAAATTTTAATATCAGTAGTGTTACCATATCAAATCATTTTTGAGTAAAAACATTCTGCTAATGATCATTTGGGTTTTTTATAGGTTGATGTGGAAGATCCCGACTTGGTCAAGTTTCCCAATTTCACAAAGGCTGCATTTCAGTCCTGCATTCTGATGCCTGGACAGATTCTGTTTATTCCAGTTAAATATTGGCACTATGTGCGATCACTTGAGCTCAGCTTCTCTGTCAGTTTCTGGTGGTCGTAACTCTGAGGCATCGCATGCAGCATTGTAATGGGAATTAAAGATCAGCAAAGTAGCATCTAGCAGCATCTTTTCATGAGAGGTTAGAGGTGGAGCAAAACCAAAAACCAACAACCTCTTGCTGAAGCATGGAGAAAGAACCAGGACGGGTAAATGGAAAGGTGATGCTGCAGCCACTTCATTTTTGTAGATGTTTCTAATAACTCCTTGTGAAGAGCGTATGTTAGGTCACTGTCCTGTGTGCCTGTGTCCCTCAGAAACAGCCTGTGTCTGGGCACTGCCAGTGCTCTGCCTCTGTCTGCAAGGGTCCTGTTGTACTCTTTCCCAGTTGTTCTGACTGTGGCAATATTCCCTCCCTTACTGAACACAGCTGCTCATGACTTGGCCTTATGTCAAGACAAACTGTTCTGCATCTAAAGAAGGGACAAAACTCAAGCCACAGTGCCAGGTGGAAGTGTTCCAACTCCAGCCCTAGGTCAGAGACCTTACACGTGCTGCATGGATTTCTCACCTGCCTGAGGTGCTACAGCAGGTGTCAGTCCCATTGCGTAGCTCAAACTGTACAAATAAGGAACACCTGCTGAGAAAGGCTTCTTTGAAGAGTCCACCTGCATAGATCAGCTTGCAGGACTGACTAAAACACTTGCATCTTTCATCCCCAAAACATGTACTGAAAGTCCCAACCCAAGAATATGGAGAACTACAAACACAAAACAGCCTCCAAGACAGCTGTGCAGGCATTACTGTGAAGGAGAACAGGAAGGTCAACAATAGTTTTATTATAAGATTCTTAGAACTTCAGAAAATAAGTACACTGGCCACTGTTACTAATGAATACAACACAGTCTAGCTGTTCTGCCAGAGTGAGTGAAAACAGCTGTCACTGACAGCAAGTTCTACTGGCATCATCTAGGGCTGAGAACGGAGCTCTATGGTGACTGGGAGGTCATCCGACTCATACCTGTAAAGAAAATGAAGGTTAATGGATGACACACACAACAAGGATAATATTGTATAGCCTCCTGATTTTTAAAATGCTTTGTATATTCCTGTGTTGCCGTTCACAATGTCCAGTTCACCTAGAGAAATAGGGCGTTCCAAAGAGATTCTTAAAAGCTCAGTATTTCCAGAAGTTTTAGTGCCATGGGTTGTGTGTGTCCCCTATTCCCTGCCACCTCCCCACCTTAAGGTAGTTATAAACAACATGCAGGGTCTGCTGTGCCCCTGTGGCACAGTCCAGGCACTGTGAGGGCTTGGTGTTGCCTGTGTGTGGTTTAATGTCTCAAACGTACAGCTGAAGCCAGAAATAACTGATAGTTACAGCTGTAAATAATACAGGTACTGCCACTAAATGTCACAGCTCATTTTCTAGTATTATTACACTCTGGTTTTTTAAAAATAGATTGCTTGGTACCTGGGATGTCACAAGACCAGAATTCATTACACTTCGGACAACGGGGTTCAGTCTGAGCTTTGAAGTACTTTCTGACACAAGGTAAATGCATTCCAATTCCACAGGATTCACAGACTTGGCTCTGAAATCCAGGAGTGATGATTAAAAAAAATCTGTCCTTCAATTTAAGAGGAAGTTGTTACAAAGGGCAGCAGATATGCAAAGCAGTATTCCAGAGATGGTTCCCACAGTATGGGTGGTAGATACTCAACAGTCAAAGGTGGTAAATAATAAAAGGAGGTGTTCTTCTGGAAACTAGGAAATAGTATTTCCATATATGGACAAAATATAGCTTGAAAGACAACAATTTCAGTGCGATAAGGGAGACCAATTGGGAAACATGGAATCGTGTTAGTTGGGCAGATCAGAAGACGCAGGCTCACAGAGCAAGAGAATGCAGCAGCTTTGGAATAGAAATCCAGGCTGTAAACACTTATACAAGACTAAACTGGTAGCATCCCAGTTATCACAACCCAGTGTTCTAGCATGCTCTATATAGCCACATGTTCCTTCTGAGGTCCAAACACAAGAAATTACTGAGCCAAACCCCAGGAACCCCAAGAATGAACGTGTGTCACGTGAAGACTGTTGTCACTGCTAAACCTGTTTCAACAACAGAGGCTCATCTCTAGCCTGCTGGTTTGGAAAGCCAGACAGCACAGCCACGTTCGTCATTGGGTGAGTGCACTTTCCCCAAGTTTATACTTGGAGACACTGCTCCAAGACAATTTTTTGCTAAAGACAGAAGATAAAATGCCTACAAAGAAAAATAATGCTTTTTCTTTTTAATTATACATAAGCATCATGACCAGATTACAAGACCAGGATTTTTTTAATGCACACCTAATACTCAAAGGGAAGTATCACAAACCTCAGCTATGACCATGTGATAAACAGACGTTACCTGGACTGCGAGGCTGCGACAGATGTTACATTTCCTTGCCACGTCCTGGTAGTTGCTGAGAATGTACTGTTCCATTTCAATTATGCAACGAGTATGCAGAGTATATTCTCCATTTTTCTAAGGAAACATATCAGGATGAGGAATTTCTTTTAATTCCTTTGACCTTTTTTGACTTTGCTAACCCCCTGCTAGCAAGCGTTTGACAGCCACTTTTTTCTGCCATCGTGAAACTAACATGCTGGTACTGGTACAATGCAAAGCTAAAACACTTTTGAAGTAGCAGAACTCCTTTGTTTTGCGGAGCAGAATAAAGGCTCCACATCTTTAACTAGTCCTTGGGAAGTACAGATGAGCAAGCATGCTCTCCTTAACAGTTTTGAGTTTTGGGACCCTCCATTCGCACATTAGAGAAAATTCACCCAGCTTTCAACAAAATCTAGGTGTTTACTGCTTGAGGTATCTTTGGAAATCTCTGCTAAATCACTTTAACATATAAGTGACTGTGTGGCAGCAGGTTGGAGATCTATGATGCAATGACTCCAGCAGAGAAGGACTGAGGTCTCATTTGGCCAGCAACTGCAGTGTTCACACAGTGAGCCCATCTCAACTGCTCCCTCATGAATTAAAGGAGATGTGACCATGTGCACAGTGGCCCATGCATTCCTGGTACAGGAGTTTTCAACATGTTTGGCCTCGCCACTTTTCAGGAAATTCCAAATGTAACTAACAGCACTGATCACCCTGGAGAGCTTTCCCCAGCTCCCATTCCTGGTTGAAGGATGTCTGTGTGTGACTGGGCAGGGCAGGACACACGAACCCACCTGGCTCAGGTACAAGAAACTGAAACCATTTAGTCCTGTATAGACCTACCCAAGGACTTTTTCCTTGTAAGTCTACTTCCTTTTCTGCAAAAATCACCAGAGCAGCAATAAGCACAGGCCCCCTAAAACCATTTTTGCCATCATTCATCAAAGAATAGTTCCAGTTTCACCCATCATATCCATAAGAACATGGTAGCTGGACCTACTGAAATAGGAACACTTGAAAGCAGTTACCTCAGAGAGCCACTTATCCTCCACAAAAACTTTCAGCACTTGTTCTGCTTCCTTTTTCTTCATTTTCTTTGTCTTAAGCTTGTCAGCCAAGTTTAAAATATCTGTAGATGAGGCAAAGCCATTTTCTGATAAAATGATTAGGTCCATCTACAAAAAGAAACACTACTAAGTATAAAAAACCCTGCAGACATACCTTACAGTAATGTACTGATGTGCAGGGTTTTTAGCATCCATACATGTGAGAGATACTACAGAATATGGCTTGAACCAGAACTGTAAAACAAAGGCAAAAAGCTGAAACATTGTCCCCTTGACAGTTTTGATGTTTGCCAAGAAAACATTTCCAGAAATAGAAGTGTACGTGCTGCCTAAATGAAGCTGCATTCAGAGACCCCTCAGCACACTCAGCAGTGACAGATCTGTTTTCTTTTTATCTGCTCAACTAAGTTTTCCACTCTGGAGTCACTAGGACTTCTGAGCCTACTTGGCATCTGAAGGCTGTACAGTATCACCAATCTTCACAGAACCTCACTGGAAACATTCCTGCTGCTTGTTAGCACAGAGCAGCCCACAGAGTCCATGTCAGCAGTGACATGGGCCACGACAACACACCCTCTGCAGAGCTGACCTGGCTGTGTGGGGGAGGGCAGGGAAACCTCTGGGTCCTATCCATGGAGATTAGACTTGTGCAGCTGTCACAGAACAGTCAATACACCTCTCTTTCCAGTTCATACAGAATATGTAATGAGTGTGCAAAAAAAACATCTAGTGGCTGGAGAAATTAAGTCCTCAAAGTCCAAGACACTGTGAGAACAATTCAGTAAAACACCTAAGATACACAGCTATGATCACAATTCACATTAATGGTTGTTGATAAGAAATTAAATATCAAATGTCCTTGAATCTTGGCCCAATAGTTCTATTTGGAACTTTAAAAAATCTCAAGTGTGTGTTTTCTTGTTTGAAAAGCAGCATTCTGACTAGTTTATTAATACAGAATTAATTGGCTAAGCAGTAACAAATGTCTATATTCAAATAAAAAAAAAAATGTTATTAGCATTAAAATCTACTGTATATTACTAAACTACTGAAGCCAGTGAAAAATTCAGCAATCACAACTGAAAATCTTGAAGAAAGGTGTCAGTGTAACTTTAGCATGTGTGTGTTGAGTCCCTAACCTCAAGGAGCACTTCCCTGGTGCTGATTTTGCCTTACCCATAACTGACTTCCAGCAGGGAATCATTACTTACATGTACTTCCATCCCTGCCAATCCCATTCAATCTGGGATAAACTTAGGTAAAATGGCAACTAGTTCCTGAACCGCATCTCCATTCATTTCCATTTCCATTCATCTTAAGGTGATACCTTCCCAAATAATGTGATTTACTAAATGATAACTGACATACTTACTGTTTTTCTGAACAACTCTAATTCAATTTCCGTATAGTCAGATGCCATTTTAGTTATTTCAGTTTCTGCCAAATTCACCTAAAAAAAGAAATAACCTGAAATCAAAGTGCCATTGTAGTTTTACACCAGAAACTGTAAAAGGTCCTCTGAGGTAAAGAATACATCAACTTACAATTAACAGAAATGTCATTTCTTTAAGGGGCATGAAAGAGACTGATCCTTGAAGTGCACTCGATGGTACTCCAGTCCTTTATTTACAACCCTTGATCTTCCAGCCACATGTTCTCCAGAGCTGCCTCTGCCCAGGCCAAGCCCTTCAACAACCCAAACCCCCCAAAGTAACACAGAGGCTGCAGCAGAGCTGACATGTCAAACCAGGCACAGTGCTGGACAGCAGCACGAACTATGTTATCAGTCACCTTTTTTTCCACTCTGAAAAACAATTGCTGATCTGGAGAAACTTCTTACAGGCCACTCCTCAGCAACCCCTTTGTGCTAGGTTGATTTTTGAGTAGGAGAAAAAGAAAACTGATGTTGGAGGGCTCTGTTTTCTAGTTTAAAAATCTGTCTCAAGAAATAAAGTCTCCTGTGGAAAAGGAATCTCACTTCAGCACTTAAGCAACGTTTATGTTAAATAACTCCAACACTGCTGTGGTCCTTGCTGCCATGTCCTATCCCACAAACCAGGGCTGTGGCAATTTATCCTCCCCCTTCCCTGTCCTACCAGCAGTTCCTGCAGCTGCTGCTGGCCCCACACAAACACAGCACCTACACAAGCACAGCTGGCCCCACACAAACACAGCAGGTACCTACTACAGCATAATGTGCTCTCCCATCCTCTTCTGACATTCCTTTCCGGACCTGCATAAACAAAGGCTGCAGGTGCCTGTTAATAGTGCTGATGAAATCGTCCAGTTTATCGTGCGCGTAGTAAACTGAAAATAAATAAGAAAAAGCACATACAGAGAAAAGTCAAACAACTACACACCAGGCAGATTTTTTCTGTGAAACGTTTTTTCCCAGGTAAAAGCACTAAAACTCCATGAGGCAAATTCAAACAGGGCTGTTCTATTCAGCAGATGTATCATTTTCTTGTGCTGCTGTCTCCTGGCCTTCAGAGACGCTCAGCTCCTTGGAAGTCAGTTGAGAGAGAGTTCAGACATTCTGCCTTGCTGTAGGGAACCCACAACACTAATCCAGTAATTACAGTGACTTGAACTAAGCTGAATTTAAAATAAAACACGACTAGGAAAAATTACTATTCGGAATAGAAAAATACACTGGCTTGCTTCCCTTTACACGCACGTGATTCCTTGTTTCTGTGCGTTCTGTTTCACAAATTAATGGCAGGTAAGTGATCAAGTTACATATCAAAACAAATTCTAGTATTGTAGAAACATGGGTAGTATCTTGTGTCGTGTTCTACAAACAAATACTAGCAGCATTTCTATCACAGACATAATCAAGATGGCCTTTGGAGTTGTTCTGTGGAGGTGCATGCGATGGCTCTTGCCTGCACTGCACCAGCACAACTCTCAGGTCCATCCAAAACAAGATTTTGTCAGTGGCAGAACCCCTGTTGCCTTCATCAGGCTAGGGTTTAAAGACCAGGGTTAAGAAACAGCTCGTAACTTTAGATTCATGTCTCAAAAATACAACCAGCTGTCACTAAATTATCCCTGTTCTCAGTCACAGGAGTCACTTGCGTGTAACGGCATCGGGCAGGAACAATAATAAAGTACAATATTTAAATATAATTTTGCCACCTGGCTGGCCCCTGTCAACAGGAAACACTGCACACGGCACAATCAGGGAGTGTTAGTAACAGATCTGAAAGCGGGTAAAAGATGAAAGCTAACAGAATATTCTTTTGTTCAACAGCTCGAATATTTTAATGTGAGATAAGTGGTTGCTCCAGTAGATCTTCTGTGAAAAAAAGGGATATAAACTCTCGATAAAAAATGAACAGGAGTCAGACCACACCAAAAGCTGCACTTCGCAATTTTAGCATCTAAGAAGGTGGCCAAGTTACAGTTCCTGGCTCAGGAGGCCTAAAAATAGACTACTTCATCCTGACCTAATGCCTATGGATAAGTAGATACAAATCCACAGTAAACCAGAAGAGTCCCTGCAGAGTGGGTAGCACGGTGACAAGACACAGGGACACTCCTAAGCCTGGCAGAAGTACAGCTTCCAGGACTAGGAACGGGCAATACAGTGCACGTGAGATGGGACAAAGCACAGCCATCCACCAGGAAACCTCATGTCATCCTCACTGAAACATTTCTGCAACATTCGCTTCTCCCACAGCACCGGATAGAAATAACTGAAGTGCATTTACTTAAAAGCATTCACTATAGTTAAGTACTATCAGCATCAAAAATTATTTTTTAAAACTCATATGTATAATCTATAAAAAACAATTCTGATAAAAAAAAGTGGTATATATGAATCTGATCTGATTAGAAGTTAGTTTACTCACTACTGTGTTACTTTATCTTTCAGGAAAGAGAGAGGACACACACATCATTACAATTTTTTAACTTTTTTTAGCTGGCGTGTGTCTTTCAGAAATCCAATTATTTGTAAGCTGCACCAGGAGAAAAAAACCACTTCTTCCATCTCCAAGACAAACACACCTTTATCAGTTTCACAGCAGTGGTGGTGTAATTTCCTGGCCTCTGATCCTTCTGTTATCCCCTTAGACATCAGAACCTGCAAGAACCGCCGATGAGCATCAGTCATCTGAGCCGCCATCGCAGTGTCCCACCAGGCTTCACGTGCTGCAGGAGGTGTAAGATGGAATTAATGCACATGTTCATACAAATTAAGAATACACAGTCCAAGCATATATAAGGTTTCAATTAAACTCTCTTACATTGAATGAGGGCAAAAGAGCAGATCCCCAGATCGTCCTCAGAATGCAGATGGTGACCAGCTCTGAGGTTCCGGAAGGCTGCAAAAGATTAAGTCCAACTTAATCTTTTAGCTACAGAATAGAACAAGGTAGGCATTGTGCTACTGTCACCAAAAAGCAGGAATCAAGCTCCTTAACACCATGGTAGCACTAAGCAGCAGGCACTGCTTTATTGCAGCGCTGGACACACCGGGCAGTGACTCCTGCCTGAGGTGCACGCTTGGCTCAAGATGATACAATATTGAGTCTGTGTAGTCTCACAGGGTCTTCTAGTTGGGTCTTTGGGCACCTGGTGGTCGTTGAGCCTCTGAACTTTGACCTTCTAAATATGGTGCTGTTTTCATCGAAGCTGCACAGTTTGCTACCGAACAAACTGGATTGGGCCAGTTTGACTTGTTACAAATGTGGTTACAGAGCTCCCAACGTTCCACTCACCGCTACCTCCTCGTCACCCGCTTATAAACTCTCATACCCCCAAAGCTGAAAATAAATGTTGTGTGACAAACTCAACACCGTGCGCGGTTCCGTGTGGGATGTGTCCCGTGTGGGATGTATCGTGTGTGGGGTGCGGTTCCGTGTGGGATGTATCGTGTGTGGGGTGCGGTTCCGTGTGGGATGTATCGTGTGGGGGGTGCGGTTCCGTGTGGGATGTATCGTGTGGGGGGTGCGGTTCCGTGTGGGATGTGTCCTGTGTGGGATGTATCGTGTGTGGGGTGCGGTTCCGTGTGGGATGTGGTTCTGTGTCGGCCGCTCCTGCTCCCCACACAGCCTGGTTAGAGCAAAGTCGATCAGGTGACTTCGAACAGCAAATCCTCCTCTCGCGTCCCGAAGAACCCCAGAACCAACGAAAGGCAGCTCAGGAAAT